GTTTTTGAGATATGGCTCTTAAAACTTTAATCCGTCCTTTTCTTAGCAAGAAGTTGCACATATAACCACCATACAAAGTGAACGATCGGAATAAAGTGCTTATATTGTAAACTTTTTCACTTGAATGATATCTTCATGAAACTTGTCAATCTATGAGGAAATTGTTCAGCTTGGATAGCTACAGCATATGGCTGCCATACAAACTGATCGATTAAAATTCGTGTAAGGAATATTTAGTATATGTGAAGGGTATTATAGCTTCCGTATAATCGCAGTTAACGCTTTTTCTTGTCTTAATATAGCTTATGTGTGTGGGAGTTCTGCAGAAAATGTTCAAAATATTGCGATCACTGTAGGAGTATGATTATTGAGTGTTCTCATATATGGCATGGTTTGAAGAATTGTGTTCTAGTAACAGAAAATCGGTTTCTTTGGAATGTAGACAAGGTTTCATTTTTTGACACAATTTCCGTGGGGATTTTTTTATAACTTTTATTTAAGAAAAATATCTAATGCTATAATATTTTCACAGCTTTCTCGTTTGTGAACCCCAAGCCAAAAAAACTACGCCGCTTTGCCGGCCAAGAATGAATCAAGGCAATTTTGATACCTTGTGCTGATGTGGACCGTGTTTCAATAAGGGAGCACTGCTTCAACCAGTGCAAATGATAGTCAGAGGCTACAAGGTCTGGGCTATAATCCGCTCTTTTCCAAATCGTTTTTAACCGGTCTAATACATAAGAGTGAACGTTGTCACAAGGAAAAATTATGGTATCTTGTTAAGGAAAAAATTCCGTGCGTTTTCCGGTAATCGCAAGCTTCACTTTCATTAGTTACTGTCTTTAGTGTTCTCCATTAATGATTATACTCGTTTTTGGAAGCATATTTATTTTCGATTTGATTATCTGAAGCTTCGAGTACTTCAAAATAAGATACCAAGTTCTTCTCTATACTTCATTTGATTGAAATCTTATTCCAATTAGCCACTTATTGAGTCTTGAAACGAGAACATAGTCACTGAGAACCAAATCTGGCGATTACAGTATGTGGGTCAGCAGTTTACATCATCATGAGCAAGCCGGAGCGCAGTTGATATGCTCATCCATTTTTCTTATCAGGAAGTTGCACTGACAGATACTACAACAAATCGGAAGAGTAAATATTTTGAACAATATAATTTAATCATTTACTCTTCAGTTAATACTATAGACAACAGGTGGCAGCCTAAATATTAATTCACTTTCTATTTATTTCTCTGACTAGGAGAAACTTCATGACTGAGCGCCTGAGAGTTCAACTTATTATGCAACATTTAAGTGCACTATTTGACCCGTAGTTGTTAGACAACTTAAACATAAATAATATAACAGCATTTCAGCTTGAATAAGATTAGGTTTTAATTAGGTGAATAAAACGAATCACGGAAAGGAAAGAGATATTAAAACTGATACAGTTAGCAATGGCCAACTATCCACTTTGTCTCCATTTCATTTGCGATAATTAAAAAGCATTTTCGACAAACAATCAGCTGAATTGAGCTGCAGGCACAAGCGGCAGCTGCAACTGTTGCTCAAGTTTTCTTTCTCTACTCTTTGCGCCGACACACTAAACGCTTACAACTGCAAACGCAGCGCAAGCTGGTAATTCTATTAAAATGACATTTGCACAAAAGCAACAGCGGTAAAAATACTAATGAAATTAAGACATACCGGACAAGTGACGGAAGCGCAAGAAGGCAAGTGATGCGCTGGAATCGAGCATCTTTTGTCGTTGCTTGATTTCGTGTTGCATAAACAGCATGCTGTCGAGCAGCGCTAACAGCTGTTATTGTACAAGTAACTGTATATATACATACGAATATATATGTATACGTGCTGGTGTTCATTTGTTAGTTGGCGTGTCTAACAATGCCGTTATAATCGTTTTCGGTGTTGTGGCAGCAACATCATTTGGCGGCAGGCCAATAAATGTGCAGCTGGTAAAAGGAAAAAGACTGCAAAGTGGTGACGACTCTTTCACTTAAGATTTAAATGTGCAGTTTGTACTGGCGCTGTCGAAAAGTATACAATGTTTACATAGGCTATCAACACAACTGCGCCTATAAGTGTGCTGTGTTATTTTGATTGCAACAAATTCAATTATGTTGCATGCACGCTTTTGTGCTAGCTAGATCGTGCTTCTTGGAGTTTGCTGCTGAGCCTGTAGCCAGTTGTATTCTTACTTTGTTGCAACAGCGGCTGCAATTATCGTTTTTAAAGCAGTGCAGCAGCTTACTGATTTATTTGACACTAAACATTTTTTTAAAAATACTGGAGTTTTTGATTTTAAAAATCAAGAAAAAATAATTTAAAATTATCTAATTAAGTTACTTATTATGATATTATTGCTTCGACGAAAAGATTAACCTAATTCTTTAACTTAGTTCTTTTTATACGACCTACACTTTAAGCTAAGTTAGCTACTCAACTCCGCAAAGGATATTGACAAGCTGTGCGAAAGGCATAGCAAGCAAGCATCTGCAAGAATTATTTGTAACGAAATTAATTTTTTTGGTAACGAAGCTCATCTGAAAAATCACAGATTTGAAAAGTATCTAATACAAAAATGTCTGTATAGATGCAAACTATTACCTCAGTTTTTGACATATTGACCTGAAATTTACACGCTCTTTTCTCTGTAAGAAGCTGCTCATTTGTCGACACGGCCAATAACACATTACTATAGCATATAGCTGCTACCCAAACGAGCCGCTCAAAATCAAATTCTAAAAATAATAAAAAATAAATTTCCATTTTAACTAAATTTTAAATACTTTTTAAACCGCATTCACTTTGTGGTTATTAAAATATCATCAAATAAGCAACAGTCAAGCACCAAGAAACTGCTGGCCTGCATCCAAAATGATTTCCACCAAAGCCTTTGAGTTGCATTGATTCAAAAAGACTTGGCGCATTATGAATATTTGCTCATGCAATGCTAAATGCAAAGTTTATTAATTTTTTCTTGATATTGGAGAGCAGCCAACAAGTGACGAGAGAGCGTTTTGTAGGTTATTAAATAAGACTAGGCATTCTCGCTGATAAGTGTGTTGACAACAGTTAAAAGTCAGCAAGTCAGCCAGTCAGCCAGTCTGTCAGTCAAGCAGCCAGTTAGCGTGTGACTGAACGAGGCTTAAAGCCATGGCAATTTTGTTGCGAGTAATGTTAATTTCAATTACTTCAGTTTTGATTCGGCGCACACTCGTACCCCTGCCCCCAAGAGTAGGCTACGTAATCCGTGTGGAATATAGTGAGCTCATTTCATTCAAATTATGTATATTTCATGTGACATTTGACTTTACTTTTCACACTGCACTTCACTTGCATTGGCATACATTCTATTTGTTTAGGTATGAGTGCATGTGTGCGTGTGTTGGCGTATATGTGTGTCTGGTACAACAGAGGTAAATGTGTGCTGTGGCGTATGAGTAACGTATTTATGCATTGCTTAACTTTTACTATGTGCGTATGTATGTATGTGTGTGTGTGTGTGTGTGTGTTTATGTGTGGGGGACGTTTGTGCAAACTTGCGATTGTAAAAATAATAAAGCGCATGCATAGAAGAGCACAGTTGCCTGTGAGCTAGCTCACTTTTATAAGCAGGTCATAGGTTGCGCAAGTTGTGATTAAAAATGAAGAGCTTGTGTGTTATTTGTTGGCAATGGCATTTTATACAATTTAATATTTTAAATTTAATTATGAACTTCAAAAATATGTTGTGAAATAGTTCTGCAGTTTTTTAATTAATAATGTGGCTGATACACTCTTTGTACAATATTTAAACAGAACGCTCGAAGTCTCTTCTGTTAAAGCTAGCACTAATATTAATGGAGTTCATTAATAATTTAGTGTTGAAATTCGTTCACAAGCTTCTATGAAATATGCTTCTTTTTCACAACTTGTGATGATATATTTACAAATGAAATACTTTACCATACAATGACTTAATTTTGATCGGTCAGTTTTTCCGACGGCTGTATGCTATAGTGATGTGATCTGAACAATTTCTTCAGAGATTGCAGCATTGCCATCCGCAACAATCTGTGCAAAATTTCGCAAAGATATCTCGTCAAAAAAAAGGTTTTCCATGCAAGCACTTGATTCCGATCGTCCATTTTGTATGGCAGCTATATGTCATAGTGATCCGATATCGGACGTTCCGACAAATGAGCAGCCACTTGATGAGAAAAGTGCGGGTGCGAAATTTCAGATCGATATCTCAAAAACTAGTTCGCATACCTATATACAGACGTATTGACAGACATGGCTATATCGACTCAGTTCGTAACGCTGTTCGTATGTATATGAAATGTTCTCTAACTGAGACTCTGAGCAAAAAGACAACGGTAATGATTTTCTAGTAACTCATTTATTCTCTACAGAGAGAGTTATGCCAATGACTTGCCTTCATAATATGCTCTATTTATTTTAATGACGCCGCTTATTTCACACTATAAGCGTATTATAGACTCAAAAATAGAAAAAAATTAGATTCGCGCTTAATATACACTTTCACCATAATTATTTTCAGGCTTTGCTTCTCTCTTGCAGCAATTAATTGTAAAATGTTCAGCGAGTAATTTAAGGTGAAATTTCCATTGCAGTTGATTAGTTTAGAGTAAATCAAACGCCTGGCCTGTTAGCAGCTGCGAGGCACGTAAAAACATATGTTTACACTTAATTTTGTATAAACAGCCTTATCAGCAATCGTGCGCGCAGATCTTATCAAGTGTTTTGACTAGATATCGCTGGGAGCTGTAAGACGCCGAGTAGTGCGTCCATAGATTTGTTTAATTTAGCATAAATTCAGAAGTTGTCAGATAACCGCTATATTGCTTTGTTTGTCTCATTTATCACAGAACAGCTAGCGCCGTGAATTTTGTGCTCCCTGCTGCTAGTTCCAATCTGGCTGCGTACGAATTAGCATAAAGTAATTAAAGCGCACTTAAAAAGTCACTACAAATGGCCTATAACAGCTGGCCTCGTATACTGTTTCTATATTTGCTGCTCCTGCTGCACTGTCGGCGGTATGCTGCCACGCCCAATCGGCGCATTATCTACAGATTTACCGATTGCAATGCCGAGCAGCTGCAACATTTGCCCAAAGTCTCGGCGATCTACGAATTATCCGCTGTGACGTGCAACATTTCAACGCTACCTAATGCATACTTCACGCGCTTCACCTCACTCAGCGCTCTGGAAGTGCGCGAGAGTGGGCTGGCGAAAATTGGTGACTATGCACTCAATGGACTGGAACAGCTGCAGTGGTTGGTGCTACCCTGGAACTACATCACCAACATCAGACCGTGGTCTCAGACGCCGTTAAAGGCTCTGCACACACTCGATTTGGAGGGGAACGCTGTGAAAACGCTTAGCGCCGAAAGTTTCATGCGCTATCCAAATCTACATTATTTAAGCCTGGCCCATAATATGCTTGAGCGCATCAGCAATGACGCATTTACACATTTGCCACATTTGAGGCAGTTGAATTTGGCGCACAATCGTATTGCCGTGATTGAGTCGCTATATTTCCGTGGCATGCAACATTTGGCCCATTTATCACTGCAGCATAATGCGATTGAGCGCGTGGCTGCCGACAGCTTTGAAACGAATGCACATCTGCGTTCTCTGCGCTTAGATGGCAATAAGCTGCGGGATTTGGATTTTCTACGCAGCAAAGCTTTGACACGCCTA